GAGAAGGCCCTCAACAAGATGGACTGACACAGTGGCTGCAACAACGGGCTCAGGTATAGCAAGGATTGTGAGGCTGGTACAGGACCAAGTAGTGTTTTGTTCTGTTGTACATTGGGAGTTCTGGTAGTGTAGTGACTAAGGCACCTGACTGCTAACCAGAAGGCTGGTAATTCAAACCCACCAGCCACTCCTCGGAAGGAAGATGGGGCAATCTACTTCCATAGTGATACCGCCTTGGAAACCCAAGGAGGGGTCGCTATGAGTCAGGTCCAACTCGACGGCACATAACAATAACAACAACAATGTAGAGTCATTATGAGTTGGAGCCAACTCGATGGCACCTAACAGCAACAATAGAAACAACAGACAAACCATTGATCAACAATGATCAACAGACAAACCATTTATCCACAGACAAACTATTTAGAACAAATCCAAATGGATAGTGTGTGTATGTGTGTATATATATATACTTACATGCTGTTGTGTTGTTAGGTGCCATAGAGTTGGCTCCAACTCAGAGCAACCCTATGTAGAACAGAACAAGACATTGCTGGTCCCTCAGTAATATATTAAACAGTGTTTCACTGCTATTTATAAGGATTTCAGTGGTCAGTTTCTTAGAAGTGGATGGCCTCATCCTTCTTCCCAGTCTGTCTTAGTCTGGAAGCTCTGCTGAAATCTGTGCACCATGGGTGACCCTGCTGGTATTTGAAATACTGGTGGCATAGCTTCCAGCCTCACAACAACACACAAACCACCACAGTACAACAAACTGACAGATGAATGTTGTATGTATTTGTGTGTGTATAATTCTTCTTTCTTTTTTCACTGCTACACAGAGTAAGCACTATAAGACATTATCTATTTTGTTATTGGTGGGAGCTCTGGTAGCATAGTGCCTAAGGCACTTGACTGCTAACCAAAAGGCTGGTGGTTTCAAATCCAGCAGCCACTCCTCAGAAGGAAGATTGGGCAATCTACTTCCATAGTGATACCGCCTTGGAAACCCAAGGAGGGGTCGCTATGTGTCGGGTCCGACTCAACAGCACATAACAACATTTTGTTATTGGTGTTATCACAAACCTTTTGACATAGAAATCCCACTCTTGGAAATCTAACCCAAATGACAAAAACAATTTAAAAAGAACTCATGAGTGTACATATATTTGAATGGACACATATGGACAAGTACGGGTAAATATAACTTCAAAGGAAATAAAGAAAAATACAGAGTGATGCATACTAGGCTGTTAACATGGATTACATTGTTGTAGGAGAGGTGATGGTGGGAGAATATGGAAAAGGAGAAAACCACCACATGTGGGGAAACAGGGAAGCTCCCAAAGTAGAAAGCTAGATAAACAGGTAACAGAACACCCACACACTCCCGTGAAGTAGAAATGCAGACAACAACAATGGAATGGCATTTAAAATTCTCCAGAAACACAAAGGGCCTTGGAACAATTTCAGGAGCAAGTATTCTTAAGCAACAATGTTTCTCTCAGAAAAGCAAACTTTTTATTAAATGTTTTTATTTATCGCCTCCACACACACCAAACAGATTGTTAAGAAACTTTTCAAAGTATTAATCTGTGTTGAACAAAAAAATCTTAGTAATTCGAGGATGTA